GTAAAATTATCAGCATGTTACAGGAGATTAACTTCTACAGTGGGATTTTATTGCTGGTTTGTATCAGTATTGATCGCTATCTGTCCATTGTCTACGCTACACAGGCCCACAAGCAGCGGAATCCATTGATAATGAAGCTTGTTTGTGCTGCACTTTGGATGGTGGCTATTGTCTTGTCTTTGCCTATTCTGTACAAAGGTGAATACCATCTAGAGGATTTGAACAGAAATCTATGTTATGAGCTACTTGATGGTGAATCAGCTGAAAAATGGAGAGTGATCACTAGACTTTTGCGGCATTTTATTGGATTTCTCATCCCATTGGCTGTCATGGTTTTCTGCTACAGTGTGATAATCCAGAAACTGTATCAAACGAAGGGATTCCAGAAACATAAAGCCATGAAAGTTATCATAGTGGTGGTGTTGGCTTTTCTCATTTGTTGGTTCCCACACAACATTACTGTGTTCATTGACACACTGATGAGGGGTAAGCTTATTGCTCAGACTTGTAACATGCGCAATCATATTGACCAGGCTTTGTCTGCAACTCAAATCTTGGGATTTCTGCACAGTTGCATTAATCCAATCTTATATGCATTCATTGGGGTGAAATTCAGGCGTAACCTGATCAAACTCATGGGTTCAAAAGGAATCTTTGTCCAAAGTGAAACATCACGTGAGAGATCTGCACCCGCCTCTGTCTCTGAATTAATTTCAGTCAACATATAGACTCTTTAGTGGCAGGATTATGGTTATCCCAACTCTATCCTCCCATGAGCATGTTTTCAGCAGGTGGTGCACACAAATATCACAGGTTATTCTTTTCCCACTCAATTGGTCCTGCCTTGATCTCCATAATAGTGTAAGTGGGTAACTGTTAAAAATGACAGCCTGAACGTTATTTAAAAAAAAATTCTTATCAGACAATTGAACTTGTTAACATGCCACTTGAATCAAATATTACATCGACCACACTGTAATATCAAGCTATTGCTTCCACAACTGTCACTAACCTCACCTCATCTGGGGATCTCCCCCACCACGATTTCCCATCACAGAGCCCAGCCCCGCCCAGCCCACTTTGATGTTCTTCTCAAAATCCACAAACAGGAAAGCCTGGGGAGACCTATTGTTTCAGACTCTTCCTGCCCCATGGAACTTATTTCGTCCTATCTTGTCTCAATGTTTTTTCTCCCTTTTTCAGTTCTTCCCACTTACATTCACGATTCTTCAGATATTTATGTTGGTTTCAGAATTTCCTGTTTGCAGGCTCCAGCCACCTCCTCTTCACTATGCACCCCTTTACACATTCATCCTCTATCAGAATGGTCTTACCGCTCTCCGCTTCTTCCTTAAAAGAAGGTCTTAACCATCTCCATCCACCAGCGTCTGCAGGATTCCCAGCTTCTGGCCTGCTCTTGTAGACATTGTGTTTATGTGGTGAGTCCAGTTGAGTTTCTGGTCAATGGTAACCCCCAGGATGTTGATAGTGGGGGATTCAGTGATGGTAACACCATTGAATGTCAAGGGACAGTGGTTAGATTGTCTCTTATTGGTGATGGTCATAGCCTGGCATTTGTATGGCGTGAATGTCACTTGCCACTTATCAGCCCAAGCCTGGATTTTGTCCAGATCTTGTTGCATTTGAACATGGACTGCTTCAGTATCTGAGGCGTCATGAACGGTGCTGAACATTGTGCAATCATCAGTGAACATCCCCACTTCTGACCTTATGATGGAGGGAAGGTCATTGATGAAGCAGCTGAAGGTGGTTGGGCCTAGGACCCTACCCTGAGGAACTCCTGCAGAGATGTCCTGGAGCTGAGATGATTGATCTCCCACAACCATAACCATCTTCCTATGTGTCAGGTATGACTCCAACCACTGGAGAGTTTGTCCCCTGATACCCATTGATTCCAGTTTTGCGAGTGTTCCCTGATGCCACACTCGGTCTAATGCAGCCTTGATATCAAGGGCTGTCACTTTCACCTCACCTCTGGAATACAGCCCTTTTGTCCATGTTTGAACCAAGGCTGTAATGAGATCAGGAGCTGAGTGGCCCTGGCAGACCCCAAACTGGGCGTCACTGAGCAGGTTATTGCTGAGCAGGTGCTGCTTGATAGAGCTGTTACTGACACCTTCCATCACTTTACTGATGATCGAGAGAAGGCTGATGGGGCGGTAATTGGCCGGGTTGGATTTGTCCTGCTTTTTGTGTACAGGACATACCTGGGCAATTTTCCACATTGTTGGGTAGATGCCAGTGTTGTAACTGTACTGGAACAGCTTGGCTAGGGGAGCAGCAAGTTCTGGAGGACAAGCCTTCAGTACTATTGCTGGAATGATGTCAGGGCCCATAGCCTTTGCAGTATCCAGTACCTCGAACCATTTCTTGATATCACGTGGAGTGAATCGAGTTGGCTGAAGACTGGTATCTGTGATGCTGGGGACCACTGGAGGAGGCCGAGATGGATCATCACTCGGCACTTCTGGCTGAAGATTGCTGCGAATGCTTCAGCCTTACCTTTTGCACTGATGTGCTGGGCTCTTCCATCATTGAGGATCGGGATATTTGTGGAGCCTCCTGCTCCAGTGAGTTGTTTAACTGTTCACCACCATTCACAACTGGATGTGGCAGGACTGCAGAGCTTAGATCTGATCCATTGGTTGTGGGATCACTTAGCTCTGTCTATCACTTGCTGCTTTCACTGTTTGGTGTGCAAGTCGTCCTGTTTGGTGGCTTCACCAGGTTGACACCTCATCCTCAGGTCTGCCCGGTGCTGTTCCTGGCATGCCCTCCTGCACTCTCCATTGAACCAGGGTTGATCCCCTGGTTTGATGGTAATGGTTGAGAGGGGGATATGCCGCGGCCATGAGGTTACAGATTGTGCTGGAGTACAATTCTGCTCCTGTTGATGGCCCACAGCGCCTCATGGATGCCCAGTCTTGAGTTGCTCGATCTGTGTGAAGTCTGTCCCATTTAGCACGGTGATAGTGCCACACAACACGATGGAGGTTGTTCTCAATGTCAAGGCTGGACTTCGTCTCCACAAGGACTGTGCGATGGTCACTCTTACCGATACTGTCATGGACAGATACAACTGCAGCTGGCAGATTGGTAAGGATGAGGTCAAGTATGTTTTTCCCTCTTGTTGGTTCCCCCACCACCTGCCGTAGATATCCTATCTGTAAAATTACCCTGAGATTCTAGAGTCCGCCACTTCAACACACCACCAGGTTTCCATGCCAACATTTCAGTCTCAGGCCTGTTGATGTGCTCCAGTGAAGCTCAATGTAAGCAGGAGGAACAACATCTCATCATCTGCCTAAGTACCTTACAGATACTGGGACTCAATGTTGAGTTTAACAATTTCAGAGTGTGAAAACCTTCCTGCATGTTCATTACTCACCCCCCAAACTCTCAGGTCATACCCTGTATGGGTTACTCCCATCACAGCCAACCCTTATTCAACTGTTCACACTTCCTGCTAGCACCCATTGAGCACTTACTTCTCTCCTGGTTCACTATCAGCAATTCCTTTGTTTGCTTCCCTTTCTTTTCTCTCTTACTGGGCACTGTGTCCATCTGTTTGACTCATGGTTAGTTGAGAAAGCAGTTCTTAAAAAAAATCATTGTTGAAAAGGTGGGTGGAAAGCTGTATGTCCTTTTTGGGGTGCTATATGAATTTCAGACACCCCTTTGTACTTCCTGACCTGCCCTCCAAAATCCCTTCCTGCCCCAAATTTGTTTTAGTCTGGGATTCATTGCTCTTTCTCTGTCACCTATTTGCAGTGCAATCAGCACCCACTATTGAGCATTGTCACTGCTAAAACTGCTCTCACTCTTTTTCTATATCTCTCTGTCTCTCTATGACTCACAAGTTTCACTCTCACTTAGATAAGGTCGTCTGCAGCATGTTATTGTACTGGATGTGGCTCTTCTAATGTCTGTTGTATTCAATAGAGGTCGTGTGAGAGCGTGAGCAATCTGTCACCTCCCCTCTCCCGCTCTCCATAAAACGCTTTGTGATAAAGATCCTTCAACCAAATATGCCGACTACAATGCAAAACAAAATAGGGTGGAGGACAAAGATCAGTTTATCTGAACACAAGGTTTCTGCTGGGAATTAGGTTAAAATCCCTGAAGAGCCATTTCTGGTTACTTATTGTTAACAAGCTCTGTTCAAGAAAAGTAGAATTTTGTATAAATTCAGTTGCTTCTCATATACTTTTAGCTCAATAAACTGTATTAATTTTGAATCTACTAGTGATGAAACATGTCTTTATTGTTGTGCTATTTTATCAAACACTCTTCATAATAAGTGGCAATACCTCAAAAACAACTTGTAAATTTTACATTCAGTACCCACTGGTGACACAACTCTCAAAGAGAAGAAATTCCTCCCCATTTGTCTTAAATGTGCAACACTTTATTCTGAGATTATGCCCTCAACACATTCATTACAAATACCCTTGCAAGCGGGATAACAACATACCAGACATTTTCATTGACAACTGGGGGACAGCTTTGACCTCTGAAACCTGAATGTCTGAAAGAGGTGAGCAAAAGACAGAAAAGACTACATAACTGAGAAGAGGGCCTGGAGAGAAAAAAAAACAGGCCAATGAATCATGCATTTGCTCAGCCGGCTTTCTCTACAGCAAATATAGCAGAGACTGCCATACCAGAGTAAATATTCTGAGTCATAGCAGGCAATGAATAAAAGTCACAAAATAATGCAAAATTTTGTCTTATGAGATGGAAGGCTGTCCATTTCCAAGTCCTTACTTCAGTATTCCTTATCTACATTGGACAAAGAGACATCCCAATTCTCAAAGCCAAACCATACATTTTTTTCATACTGATGAAGGTGTGAAATCAGGAGCTGGATCCTTCTCTCACTGGCATCTGGTATGTGGTACAAGGCAGAGGGATAAAATAATCGACATTTCAATGCTTAAATGATATCTCTCAATTGAGCCACTTTAATAAGAACACCCCGGGGTCAAGATAGCAGTGGAGTAGGACACTCAAACCCGAGTTCCTCTGCTCCTTCTGTTTATTTCTCATTTACTTCTTTGTTCCCCCTTTTATCCCACTTTCTGGTGTTTTCTCCATCTTGGTGTTCATCTCCCCTGTGGAGGGTTACTGGCTGTTTTCCCAGTATCTCTCGGCCTGGTCTCTCAGCAGTTTGTGGTGGGTCACAGCCTGGTCTCTTTGCGGCTCTCAGCCTGGTCTCCTGGCAGCTCATGGTGAGTCACAGCCTGGTCTTCTGGCAGCTCGTGGTGGGTCTCAGCCTGGTCTCTGGCAGCTGTCAGCCTGTTCTCTCAGCAGCTCTCAGCAGATCTCAGCTTGGTCTTCTGGCAGCTTGTGGTGAGTCACAGCTGGTCTCTTGGCAGCTCCCAGCCTGGTCTCTCGGCAACTCATCAAAGATTGTTGAACTTTTTAACTTATTCCTTTATTTTCCTCTTTCAGACTACAAAAGACTTTAACGTTAACTATTATCTTATTTCTTTATTTTTTCTACTGTTTCTATGAAGTAACGCTTAACTTTTTAACCATTGTTTCTCTTTCTACTTTGGTACCTGAGGTGACGCCAAATGTAGTGACATTATACACTTTTCACTGTACACCTCTACAATGACAATAAAATCTAAATCTAAAACAAATCTCAATCTAAAAATCTAAATTTGAATAAACAGAATCACAACTAAAACATCAGTGTTACATGTGCATGATTCCCAAATGGCAAATTCAGTTGAGATGAGAATCCTGTGAGAAACTATACCAGGCAAACTACCAATCCCAATTCTACTCCTGTAACACATGCAGGATAAGAGATATGAGCCAGGTTGTGACATTTTTTCACTCCATACTAAGTTTTGCACATGATGTCTAGTATTTTTATCCTTGCATCACTTCTTGCAGACATCGTGCACATTGCCTTAAAATTACTAAATGTATTACAACACACTTCCCATCACTTTGCAAATTATATAGACCATAGATTTGACAGGATACACATTAGACAGTGTTCTCACTCAGCCGGGATATAAAACTGTGGTTCATGTCGCTAAGTGTCATAGCAGCCAATGAATTGCCATCTTTGTGCATGCCACACTGCCTGGTCAAGAAACCTTGTGCAGAAGCGTAAAGACTGGAAAAAAAACATCTTTTAAGAAGGTATGTAGGTATTATTTTGCAGCTGTTCAATTTTCATATTTGAAAATCTTAGTATTGTATTTACAAAATGAGCAGATATCTCACAATGCTTCTCACAAAGATGACATACAGACAAGACTATAATGTCATCTGTCAGCTAGACAGTGTTGAGCACAAAAGTCTAGGCTGACACTACCTCCATGCTGAAGGAGAGTGTGATGCTTTTATTCTGTGTTATAGAGACAAGAGGCCCAAGTGTGCAAAAGGTTTTAAGGGGGCTTATGTTTGTTATCCTTTGCCTGGTGTTATACAAAATCAGGTAATGGGGGATGGCGGGGACGGGTGTGTTGGTGGGTGGCTGGGAATGGTTGCGGGGGGAGGGTTGGTGCTGGAACATGGAGATTACACAACATATTGCTTGTGTTGCTAAACATGAAGAATTAGGCTTGCAAGAAATGTTATATAAGCTACATTTTTTTTAATTCAGAAAGGCAAAAAAAGAAATCTACTTGTTCTTTTAAGACGACAGTACTAAAATGGTGGCTCTGGAACATATGATGCCAGGCTGTTCTGGAAATTGTTTGTACATGAACTGTCCTACTCAGGAGCAGGAGGAAAAATTTGAATGCACTTTGAACATTCATTTGCAGTTCATATTGTTCTGCTCACTTCAAGTTTCAAATGCATGATGAACCATATTGGAAGTTCTGCAGCAATGCTCAAAATAAGGAGACAGGATGTCCTTTCTTCTGTCTAGTAATGCCTATTCTTTAACTGGATGCCACATTGCATCTAGAACCAAACATCCTTGTAAGTACCTAGGTACAAACCTTGGGTACAACAGAAAGTAGAAGTGTGTTGTGGCTAGTAATCCAGTTCAGCCTCCTTTAATGCCATTTGAATATAGAATGAGAATAAGAATAGAATCCCTACAGTGTGGAAACATGCCGTTTGGCCCAACAAATCCACACTGTCTCTCAGAAGAGCATCCCACCCAGACTCAACCCCTACTCTATCCCAGTAGCCTTGCATTTGCCATGGCTAATCCACCTAACCTACACATCCCTGGACATTACGGGGCAATTTAACATGACCAATCCACCCTAACCTGCACATCTTTGGACTGTGGGAGGAAACCAGAGGAACCAGAGGAAACCCACACAGACACGGGGAGAATATGCAAACTGGAATTGAACCCAGGCCCCTGGCGCTAACCACTGAGCCACCGTGCCACCCCTATTTGTGGGATGCAAAGTAGACGTTCTGATACAGTTGCTGGCCTGAGATGTCAGGATTGCACTGGGGTAGTCAGTGTGAACTGCATGGGATGATGAGGTTATTGCAACCATGATGTTTGCGAGACCTATGATAGGTACTCTCCACACTTCACATCAGCTCTGACAAAGAGTCATCTAGATTTGAAACGTTAGCTTGCTTTCTCTCCATGAATGCTACCTGACCCGCTGTGACCTCCAACACTTATTGCTTTCAGGCCTAGGATAGCAGCATATATGTTAGCACCAGAAGAAAATTCCTGCTCTTCTAGAACCCACAAAAGACTTAATTTATATAGACCTCTTAATTCATCTCTGGTGAAACAGGTCACAACTTATGGTGAATGCTCCAACTAATCTAGACAAATATTTCAATTGGAGATCTAGTTGTGTTACATGACCCAATTTCTATATTGGAGGGTCCTGCTGGCTGTAACAAGAAAATACTTTTGACACTTTTAAAATGGATTTATACCTCTCTGTGCTAAAAGGATGATATCGCCATCTTCATTTTGACTTCATTTTGAGATGGCTTCTTCCAGAATACTGAAAAGATATCTCTGTGTGCATTTGATTTCATAAGTACATTCCAAGTAATTTCTTCCAACAGCTGATATTTTGCTTCAGAATTTCTTTGTTAGTTTAACCATAGATATGTATCAGTGTTTTAGCCCAAGCACCTATCCAGGCAAATTCTAAATAGTTTGGATATGAGGAAGGGCAATATACATTTGGAGCAATGTTTTGGCCTATGCCAGAGCCTTCTCTCTGTGCCCATTTCCTGTTTTGTCATAAATCCAACTTAAATATCACCAAGAGGAGAATCAGTAACCAGAGACGAGAGATTTTAGATTATTGGAAAATGAAACAGAGGATAGATGAGCAGAAACTGAAACAGAAATTGCTGAAAAACTCAGGAGGTCTGGCAGCATCTGTGGAGAGAAAGCAGAATTAATGTCTCCTGTCCAGTGAGCCTTCTTCAGAGCAGTTCTGAAATACATTACACTTTGTCCCCTTCAAGTCATCAATATAAATAATAAATAATTGATGCCTTAGGACTAATCTTTGTGACACTGCACTAGTTCCATTTTTCCAGCATGAAAAAGACCTGTTAATCACAACTGGTACGTCCTGTGCTGTAATTAATCCCCAATCCATGATAATACATTACCTTGCTAAAACCACAAACTCTTCTTGAACAGGGGCAGCATATTTTCAAGGCTGGCCGGAAGAGAGCTAGGAGGCAATAGAAGAGAAATTTTTTCTTTATTCGTTCACAGGATGAGGGCGTCACTGGCTAAGCCAGCATTTATTGCCCATCCCTAATTGCCCAGAGGGAAGGTAGAGTCAACAACATTGCTGCTGATCTGGAGTCACATGTATGCCAGACCAGGTAAGGATGGCAGTAAAGGACAGCTCCTGATTACACAGCTTTATCAGTATTAAAAATATGGATGGATTGGCTTTGGGTTTTCTCCGGACCATCAACAATAGATTAATATTTATTGAATTCAAATTCCACCATTTGCTGTGGCAGGATTCAAACTCAGGTCCCCAGAACGTTATCTGCGTCTCTGGATTAACAATCTGCCGATAATACCACTTGGCCATCACTTCCCCTTCTTTAATCAGAAGGTTGTGCAAGATTTGGAACACACTGCCTCAGAGAGTGGTGGATGTGAATTTCATCAGAGGTTTCAAAAGAGAGCTGGGTATATATTTGAAAGGCATAAAGTTAAATGGCTATTGAGATGGGCTGGAGAGTGGGATGAGTTGGATAGCTCTTTCAGGAGCTGGTACAGACATGATGGGTCGAATGGCCTCCTTCTGTACTGTGAATTTCTATGATTCTATGATTAGTAGTTTTCAAATCTGCTGGAATCTTCTTGGAATCCAGTGAGTTATGGAATATTCTGACCAATGCTTCCACTATCCCTGCAGTCCATTCCTTTAAAAGGCGAGGTGCAGGCCATTAGGCCCTGGATAGAGATTATTAATATACTGTCTGCAGTGACTTACCCTCACCAGTTGAACAAACAATATAAATAGCAGTTGCAATTTCAGCCACAATCAAAAATCAGAAAAACACGAAAATATAGTTTTCACAACATACCTGATGTAACAATAGAACATAGAACATAGAACAACACAGCACAGTACAGGCCCTTCAGCCCACGATGTTGTGCCAACCTATTATCTTACTCTAAGATCAATCTACCCCGCATACCCTACATTTTACTATCCTCCATGTGCCTATCCAAGAGTCACTTAAAAGTCTCTAAAGTATCTGACTCCACTACCACTGCCGACAGCGCATTCCACACACCCACCACTCTCTGTGTAAAGAACTTACCTCTGACATCTCCCCTACACCTCCCTCCAATCACCTTAAAATTATGCCCCCTTGTGATAGTCATTTCCGCCCTAGGAAAAACTGTCTGGCTATCCACTCCATCTATGCCTCTCATCATCTTGTACACCTCATTAAGTCACCTCTCATCCTTCTTCGCTCCAATGAGAAAAGCCCTAGTTCCCTCAAACTTTCCTCATAAGACCTGCCCTCTAGTCCAGGCAGCATCCTGGTAAATCTCCTCTGCACCCTCTCTAAAGCTTCCACATCTTTCTTATAATGAGGTGACCAGAACTGAACAAAATATTCCAAGTGTGGTCTAACCAGGGTTTTATAGAGCTGCAGCATAACCTCACGGCTCTTAAACTTAATTCCCCTGCCAATCAAAGCCAACACACCATACGCCTTCTTTACAACCCTATCAGCTTGGGTAGTAACTTTGAGGGATCAATGGACATGGACCCCAAGATTCCTCTGTTCCTCCACACTGCCGAGAATCCTGCCATTAACCCTGTATGCTGTATTCAAATTCGACCTTCCAAAATGAATCACTTCACACTTTTCTGGGTTGAATTCCATCTGCCACTTCTTTACTCAGTTCTGCATCCTGTCAATGTCCCATTGCAACCTACAACAGCCCTCCATACTATCCACAACTCCACCAACCTTCGTGTCATCGGCAAACTTACTAACCCACCCTTCCACTTCCTCATCCAAGTCATTTATAAAGGTCACAAAGAGGAGAGATCCCAGAACAGATCCCTGTGGCACACCACTGGTCACCAAGCTCCAGGCTGAATACTTTCCATCTACTATAACCCTCTGTCCTCTATTGGACAGCCAGTTTTGTATCCAGACAGCCAGATTTCCCTGAATCCCATGCCTACTTACTTTCTGAATGAGCCTACCATGGGGAACCTTATCAAGTGCCTTGCTAAAATCCATATACACCACATCCACTGCTCTACCTCCATCAATGTGTTTTGTCACATCCTCAAAGAATTGAATAAGGCTTGTGAGGCATGACCTGTCCCTCACAAAGCCATGCTGACTATTTCTAATCAAACTGTGCTTTTCCAAATAATCATAAATACTATCTCTCAGAATCCTTTCCAATAATTTGCCCACGACAGAAGTAAGACTGACTGGTCTGTAATCCCCAGGATTATCCCTATTCCCTTTCTTGAACAAGGGAATGATATTTGCCACCCTCAAATCATCTGGTACTACTCCAGTGGACAGTGAGGACTTAAAGATCATTGCCAAAGGGGCAGCAAAATCTTCCCTCACTTCTCTTAGTAACCTTGGGCATATTCCGTCTGGCCCTAAGTTTTTCAAAATTTCTAGCACATCCTCCTTCTTAATAACAACCTGTTTGAGCATATCTGCCTGTTTCATGCTGTTCTCACAAACATCAAGGTCCCTCTCACTGATGAATACTGAAGCAAAGTATTCATTAAACCTCCCCTACCTCTTCTGACTCCGCTCACAAGTCCCCTCCACTGTCCCTGATTGGCCCTACCCTCACTCTGGCCATCCTCTTGTTCCTCACATAAGTATAGAACGCCTTGGGATTTTCCTTGGTCCTACCCGCCAAGGTTTTCTCATGCCCCCTTCTAGCTCTCCTAAGTCCATTCTTCAGTTCCTTCCTGGCTACCTTGTAGACCTCTAGAGCCCTGTCCGATCCTTGCTTCCTCAACCTTAAGTAAGGTTCCTTCTTCGTCTTCACTAGATGTTCTACATGTCTTGTCATCCAAGGTTCCTTCACCTTACCATCATTTCCTTGCCTCAGTAGGACAAACCTGGCCTGATTCGTTGCCAAGCACCAAATCCAATATGGCCTCCCCTCTAGTCGGTCTATCTACATATTGATTCAGAAATCCTTCCTGGAGACACCTGATAAAATCTGCTCCATCCAAACTATTTGCACTAAGGAGGTTCCAGTTGATATTAGGGAAGTTGAATTCACCCATGACAACAACCCGACTACTTCTTCACCTTTCCAAAATCTGTCTCCTAATCTTTTCCTCAGTGTCTCTGTTGCTATTGGGGGGGTCTATAGAAAACTCCTCAGAAAGTGACTGCTCCTTTCCTGTTTCTGACTTCCACCCATACTGACTCAGTGGACAAACCCTCCTCCACGACCTCCCTTTCTGCAGTTGTGATACCATCCCTGACTAGCAATGCCACTCCCCTACCTCTTTTACCTCCCTCCCTATTTCTTTTGAAACCTCTAAACCCTGGAACATCCAACAACCATTCCTGTCCCTGTGTTATCCAAGTCTTCGTAATGGCCTCAACATCGTAGCTCCAAGTACTGATCCATGCTCTAAGTTTGTCATTCTTATTCCTGACAATTCTTGCATTGAAGTAGACACACCTTAATCCATCACACTGACTGCAACTTTGCCCTATCAACTGCTTATCCTTCCTCACAGACTCTCTGCTTGCTCTATCTGTCTGTACACCGGCTACCCCATCCTCTTATCTGTAGTTCTGGTTCCAATCCCAGTGCCAAAAATAGTTTAAACTGTTTAAGGTTTTGGAGTAGCTCGGGTTGTGGGTGTTGTGGTTGGTTGGCTCACCAAGCTGGTTCGTTGTTCCGCAGACGTTTCATTACCGTGCTGGGTAACATCATCAGTGCAGCCTCCAATGAAGCACCGTTGTGTTTTCCCGCCTGGTTTTTAAACTCTGGAATCTGTTGGGCAGGATTACCTCACTTCCGGTTTTCCTTTGCAATGGAGTGTATGTGGGGTAGAATTCCATGTGTTTGTTGATAGCTTTCTTCGTGGAGTACCCAGGCTTCCAGGAACTCCCGTGCCTGTCTCTGCTTTGCTTGTTCCAGAATCTTGGTGTTGTCCCAATCGAATTGGTGGTTCTCCTTATCCATGTGAATAGAGATGAGTGAGTATTGGCCGTGAGTCATCAGCAAACGCGTAGAGCTCGACCCCCGATACACTCCATTGAGAAGGAAAACTGGAAGTGAGGTATTCCAGATCAACGGACTCCAGAGTTTAAAAACCAGGTGGGAAAACACAACGGCGCTTCATTGGAGGCTGCACTGATGATGTTACCCAGCACGGTAACGAAACATCAGCGGAACAACGAACCAGCTAGTTTAAACCCTCCCGAAGAGCTCTAGCAAACCTCCTGCCCAGGATATTGGTGCCCCTCCAGTTCAGGTGCAACCTGTCCTTCCTGAACAGGTCCCACCTTCCCCAGAAGGTATAGAACATAGAACATAGAACATAGAACATTACAGCGCAGTACAGGCCCTTCGGCCCTCGATGTTGCGCCGACCTGTGAAACCAATCTGAAGCCCATCTAACCTACACTATTCCATTATCATCCATATGTTTATCCAATGACCATTTAAATGCCCTTAAAGTTGGCGAGTCTACTACTTTTGCAGGCAGGGCATTCCACGCACTTACTACTCTCTGAGTAAAGAACCTACCTCTGACATCTGTCCTATATCTATCACCCCTCAATTTAAAGCTATGTCCCCTCGTGCTAGCCATCACCATCCGAGAAAAAAGGCTCCCACTGTCCACCCTATCTAATCCTCTGATCATCTTGTACGTCTCTATCAAGTCACCTCTTAACCTTCTTCTCTCTAACAAAAACAGCCTCAAGTCCCTCAGCCTTTCCTCATAAGACATAGAACATAGAACATAGAACATAGAACATTACAGCGCAGTACAGGCCCTTTGGCCCTCGATGTTGCGCCGACCTGTGAAACCAATCTGAAGCCCATCTAACCTAAACTATTCCATTATCATCCATATGTTTATCCAATGACCATTTAAATGCCCTTAAAGTTGGCGAGTCTACTTTTTTTGCAGGCAGGGCATTCCATGCCCTTACTACTCTCTGAGTAAAGAACCTACCTCTGACATCTGTCCTATATCTATCACCCCTCAATTTAAAGCATATCCCCTCGTGCTAGCCATCACCATCCGAGGAAAAAGGCTCCCACTGTCCACCCTATCTAATCCTCTAATCATCTTGTATGTCTCTATCAAGTCACCTCTTAACCTTCTTCTCTCTAATGACCTTCCCTCCATACCAGGCAACATCCTGGTAAATCTCCTCTGCACCCTTTCCAATGCTTCCACATCCTTCCTATAATGCGGCGACCAGAACTGTACGCAATACTCCAAGTGCGGCCGCACCAGAGTTTTGTACAGCTGCAACATGACCTCACGGCTCCGAAACTCAATCCCTCTACCAATAAAACCTAACACACCGTACGCCTTTTTAACAACCCTATCAACCTGGGTGGCAACTTTCAGTGATCTATGCACATGGACACCAAGATCTCTCTGCTCATCCACACTACCAAGAATCTTACCATTAGCCCAGTACTCTGTATTCCTATTACTCCTTCCAAAGTGAATCACCTCACACTTTTCCACATTCAACTCCATTTGCCATTTCTGAGCCCAGCTCTGCAGCTTATCGATGTCCCTCTGTAACCTGCAACATCTTTCCGCACTATCCACAACTCCACCGACTTTGGTGTCTTCCGCAAATTTACTAACCCACCCTTCTACGCCCTCATCCAGGTCATTTATAAAAATGACAAACAGCAGTGGCCCCAAAACAGATCCTTGAGGTACACCACTCGTAACTGAACTCTAGGATGAACATTTCCCATCAACCACCACCCTCTGTATCTCAGCGACCCACATATCTGAAGCCCTCCCTCCTATACCAGCTCTGTAGCCACGTGTTCAGTTGCACTGGGTCTCTGTTTCTGGTCTCACTAGCCCGTGGCACCAGTAGCAATCCTGAGATTACTACTCTGGTCGTCCTGGCTTTTAGCTTCCATCCTAACTCCCTACATTCACTTTTCAGGTCCTCATCCTGTTTCCTAGCTATATCATTGGTACCGATGTGTACCACAACTTCTGGCCGCTCACCCTCCCCCTTAAGAATCCTGTAGACGCGATTAGAGACACCCCTGACCCTGGCACCCGGGAGGCAACATACCATCTGGGAGTCTCGCTCGGTACCACAGAATCTCCTGTCTGTTCCCCTAACCATTAAATCTCCTATCACTATCGCTCTCCTATTCTCCCCCCTTTCCTTCTGAGCCACAGAGCCAGGCTCAGTGCCAGAAACTTTTCCGCTATGGCCTTCCCCTGGTAGGTCGTTTCCCCCTCGTATCCAAAACGGTATACTTATTATTGAGGGGAACAGCCACAGGGGATCCCTGCACTGTCTGCCTATTCCCTTTCCTCTTCCTGACAGTCACCCAGCTACTTTTGTCCCGTACCTTGGGTGTGACCACCTCCCTGTAACTCCTCTCTATCACCCCCTCAGCCTCCCGAATGATCCGAAGTTCATCCAGCTCCAGCTCCAGTTCCCTAACGCGGTTTGTGAGGAGCTGGAGTTGGGTGCACTTCTTGCAGGTGAAGTCAGAGGGGACACTAGGAGTGACCCTTACCTCCCACATCCTACAAAAGGAGCATGCAACTGCCTTAGCTTCCATCCCCTCTAATCTAGATTGCCAAAAGAATAAAGTAAAAAAAAGGCCTTCCCTTATCTTTCCGACCCACCACACAGTATTTTTTTTTGGTTAGAGGAGGAGGATATATAAATTTGATATTATAAAATCAAATATACATTTGATATTATAAATTAAGATTAGTCTGACTCCCTAAACTACGCTTTCTCTTTCAGAAAATGGCAAGCCAGAAATTTGAATTAGACAATTTTGACTTTGCTGACATATTTGAAAATTATACAATTCCTTACGACTACATTATTGATCCAGACATGTCGCCCTGTCAGCCTGAAGTGAATGAGTCGATCACCACGGCTCTGGCTGTTATCTATAGCCTGGTGTGCTTCCTCGCTGTGACAGGGAACGTGATCGTAATGATTGTCCTACTTTATGATCGACGTACCATATCATCCACAGACACCTACCTGCTACATCTGGCAGTGGCTGATCTGCTCTTTGCTGTGACCTTGCCTTTTTGGATTGTGGATGCCATATCTGGCTGGGTGTTTGGTGATGCCATGTGTAAAATTATCAGCATGTTACAGGAGATTAACTTCTACAGTGGGATTCTGTTTCTGGTTTGTATTACTATCAATCGTTATCTGTCCATTGTCCACGCTACACAGGCCCAGAAGCAGAAGAGACCATTTCTAATTATGCTGGTTTGTGCCACTGTTTGGTTGGTGTCTATTGCTCTGTCTTTACCGGTTTCGTACAAGGGTGAATACATTCATTTTGAACGAGTCATGTGTTATGAGGTACTTGATGTTGAATCAGTTGAAGCATGGAGAATAACCACAAGGCTTTTGCAGCATTTTTTTGGGTTTCTCATCCCACTGGCTGTCATGATTTTCTGTTACACTGCGATAATCCTGAAACTGTGTCAAACAAAGGGATTCCAGAAACATAAAGCTATGAAGATCATCATAGCTGTGGTGGTGTCCTTTGTAATTTGTTGGCTGCCGTTCAATATCACTGTGCTCGTTGACACACTGATGAGAAGCAATCTCATTGCTGAGACTTGTGACAGGCGCAATGATATTGACAGGGCTCTGTCTGCAACTCAAAGTTTGGGTATCCTGCACAGTTGCATTAATCCAATCTTATATGCATTCATTGGAGTAAAATTCAGGAGGAACCTGGTGAAAGTCTTTTTCAAGAAAGGGATCATTAAGCAAACCGTCATGTCAAAATTCAGGAGATCTGTATCCTCAATCACTGAATCTGGATTTATGTCAACTAGTATACATATTGGTTTTGATGAAAATGTCAGTTAGACAGGAGATAATAAACATGAAGGAATGAGGGGGGAAAGTTTCAAAGTACTAAAAGAATGAGTAGGAATGCTTTAGAGATTTCAGTTCTGAATATAGTAATTATGTAGTTTTGAGGTGGGTCAATGAGATGGGCCAATGATATCTAACATACAATTGTCTGAAAGTCTAGTGTGATGAGTATTCATTCAGATCACATTAATTTGCCTGCACTTGATAATGAGGGATATCCATATTATTGGTTGGATAGTGATCTGATTGCTAACTCTGAACAATGACTCTGCTTTGCTACCAAAGATAACCATACTGCTTAATCACAGAATAGAGATAAGGAACAATTGCTTGATTTGCACTGCATGTAATGGAATTGAATTAATATAACTATGGTCTGACTAAAACACTCCTGTGAAATGAGCACCTCTTTGAGCTGTTCTTTCTTTTGGTATTGCCTCAGTATTGGAGTGCACTCAGAAAGAGCTAAGTCTGAAACAACTACATGGTCTTGAAAAGGTTTCAAAAGTTCAATGCCTGTACTATTCACTCACTCCTCATCTGGTCTCAGCATTTCTTGTCAGCATGAATTAAACAGACAGTAAGTATTAAGAGCTTAATAAATAGAAGCAGGGATAAATCATTCATCCCTTCAAGTCTGCTTCACCATTCAATAAGATAATTTATCATCTGTTTGCAGCCTTAAGTCCACTTCCTGTCTGTCCCATAACATTTGATTCACCTGTCAATGAACAATCAAACTCAACTTTGAACATATTCAATGACCCATCCTCCAATATTCTTTGCTGTAGAGAATTCCAAAGACTAAAAACCTCCTCATCTTGACCTTAAATGGGAGTTCCTTCAATTTAAAAATATGAAAAAATGCAGTGTACAAAAATTTCTTACCTTGACTTCTTAAATTGACTTTTCCAGCAGTGGGTGGAAGGTTCCAATGGTGGTGGTGAGAGATGGAACTGCACTCTATCTCCCACATCTGTAGGTGCAAGGCCCAGACGGAAGGTGAGCTTGCAACGGTGTCACAGAAAGGGCCCAATAATGAAGAGCATAAAAGCTACTTTCATTCAGGCTGGCATACTGTAGCTGTCAATGACCTTCAATAAAAATTGACCCTGCTGATTTAAGTACATGAAATTAGGCAGAATTTTCTAGGCCTGTCCTGAACTTTTAGAAGCATAAATGGGGAATCTTCATTCGGTTGGGGCAGGATGGGATGGGTGGCAAAAATACAGTTTCCCTGATGGCTAGTTAAAATTTGGCATTGAAGTTCTCAGAATCTTTCAGGTAGGTCAGCTTTCCTGACCTTGAACTTGGTGTGCATTAACGTCGCATGAGTACTCAACAGTATCTCAGCCTACCAGAATTACATTCACGTTAGAATCCCATTAGCAGATTTGAACCTATGACGTGGTTGGAACTGCTGCCTCACAGTGCCGGGGGCCTGGATTTGATTCCAGCTTGGGTGGCTGTCTCTATGGAGTTTGTACATTCCGCATGTGCCTGTGTGGGTTTCTGCTAAATGCGCTAGTTTCCTCCCACAGTCCAAAGATATGCAGGTTAGGTGGATTGGCCATGCTAAATTGTCCTGTAATGTCCAAGGTTGTGTAGGCTGGGTGGATTAGCCATGGTAAGCCTCCTCACTCATTTCCCTGATCCTTTCAAGTACTTTGTTGAAGATATGGTGCAGTTGACCAATTAATTGTTCAGTCTTTTGGTCACTGATTAAACACAATGGCTTATAGCAAGTGGTGAGAGAGAATATCTTTGTTTCATTTCTAGGTTATATGGAGACATAGAAATTGGGATCAGGAGTGGGCCTTCCATCACTTCAAGCCTGGAGATTCAATATGATTGTGGTAGATGCTTGATCTCAATGTCACAATCCTGCTTTCTCCCTATACCTCTTGATGCCTATAAGAATCTAAAAAATGTATCTATCCCTTTCTTGAAAATATTCAACGACTTGGCCTTCACAGCCTTTTGTGGTAGAGAATTCTGCAGGTTCATTACCTTTTGGGTGAAAAAAAACTTTCCTCATCTCAATCTGAAAATGGTCTGCCCTATATCCTCAGACTGTATCCCTTGGTTCATCACCTCAGCCATGGAAAACATCCTCCCTGCATCTAGTCTGTCCAGCCCGGTTAAAATTTTATACATTTCAATCAGATCCCCTTTCATCCTTCTAAATGCTGGATGCTAGGGAACCAATCTCTCCCCATCCCTGATTGCAGCCTGATGAACTTCTGCTGCACTCCCTGCAAATAAAACTGCACACAATACTCCACTTGCGATCTCACCAAGGCCCTGTACAACTGAAGTAAGACATCCCTATTTCTGAAATGAAATCCACTTGCAATGAATGTCAATACACCAGCTGCCTTCCTAATTGTTTGCTGAAACTGAGATAACAAGGTGTAGAGCTGGATGAACACAGCAGGCCAAGCAGCATCAGAGGAGCAGGGAAGCTGACGTTTCGGGCCTAGACCCTTCTTCAGAAACTGCTTTCTTTCATTACTGGTGTACAAGGACACCCAGATCCCTTTGTACATCTACACTTCCAAATATCTCACTATTTAAATAATACTCTTCCTTTCCATACTTCACATCGAAGTGTATAACTTTACATTTAGTCATATTCACTCAACTTGTTTAAATCACCTTGAAGCCTCCTTGCATCCTCCTCACAACTCACAATCTCACTCAGTTTTGTGCAAACTTAAATGTTGCACATGGTTCCCTCATCCACATCATTTATGTTAAATCATAAATAGCTGGGGCTAAGAACTGATCCTGTGGTACCACACTAGTCATTGTCTGCCACTTGGAAAATGATCCATTTACTCCTATTCTCTGTTTTTTGTTTGTCAATCAATTTTTGATTCATGTCAATACACTACTCCCTATTCCATGTGCTTAAACTTTTCCCGTTAACCTCTTATGAAACACTTTATCAAAAGCCATTTAAAAATCCAAATACACTGGATTTCCCTTACCTGTTTTTCATGAACCGTGCTGGCTTTAACCAATCCCATGAATGCTTCCAAATGTTCCATTATTGTGTCTTTTATGATAGATATCACTGCAGAGACAGATAAAGAGACATACTGTCTCTTGCATTCTGCACACCTTCTGCCTTTGTATTGTTCACACAAAGGCTATCCACCTGCCCACTAATCAGCAGTCTCTGGGTGAAAGTTGCCTTTCTCTCTCTCTTGCAAACACACACGCAGGCACACACATACACACGTGCACGCAAACACACGCGCACACACACACACACGCACACACACACATACACACATGCACACACACACATACACACATGCACGCGCACACACACACATACACACATGCACGCGCGTGCGCGCACACACACGCACACACACACATGTACGCACGCACACGCGCGCACACACACACTTTGGATCTCAAACATATGTCACCGCTTGAATAAGGGGATAGTGATAACACAACTCTCAATGAGTCCCAGCAACTTGTTTTCAAAAGTGCAGCAACCCCTTTGATAGTGGTTGTCTAAAGAAGTTGTTTTTTTATTTTGGCCCAAATCTAAAATGAAAAAAAAAATGGTCTTTACACTGGAACCATTCTTCTAAACCTCTTTTATACTCTCTCCAATGTATTCTTATCCTTCCTAAACTGTGGCACTCATAACTACTCATAGTACTCCATTGGCAATCTAACAAATATCTTGCTCCCCATATCTTGTGTCCCTCTCAATAAATTCCAGGATACTTAAATTGCTTTCTCCACCCTCTATCTTCAATGATCTGTGCGCATATCTGCCTCTGCTCCTGTACCCCCTTGCAAACTCTACTAATTTTTTATTGTCTTGTCTTTTGTTGTTCTTAATATCAAAATAAACTACCTCACCCCATTTCTCTTCATCTAACTTCATCTGCCACCAACTCCACCAACTTGTCTACGTCCTTTTGGAGTTCTACATTGTCTTCCTCACAGTTTACAATGGTTCCTCTGGTACTTAAATCCCCTTGCGAAGAAGGCCAACATACCATTTGACTTACCAATTGGATGTTAACTTTAAGTGACTCACTGAGCTCTTGTAGTGTCATGGTAATATTCTTATCTCTGGGCAAAACGGCTGAGTTCAAGTCCAACTTGCCAAGACACGTGTCATAAAATGCCCAAATGCCTGATTAAAAATAATTTGAAGTGACTCATGAGCATATGCAAACCCCTTTGCACATCAGCATTTTCCAACCTCTCACCATTTAAGCTAGGCCATTTAGGGATGAAATTAAAAAAAAAGATTTCCTCAAAACAGATGGTGGAAATCCGGCATTCTCTCCTGTAAAAAGTTTGTGGATATGTATATAAATTGTCTTAAAGGTTATAAAACAAGGGCAGAGAAATGAGGTGAGCCATGATCTAAATGAATAGAAAATGTTCAAGAAGCTGAATGGCTTAATCCTGTATTTGTTATTTTACCATTCTGTGACATTTAGATTATATAATTCATGTAAATAACTTATTATATCACTGTCAGATTACTTGCTTGTTCATTGTTTATTTAATAAATCCACTTCATGTTTATATTTTAAACAAGGTCTACTGGAGTCTCTATTTACTTTTGAAGTCTTTTAAAGGTAAAGTACTCAGAGTGTTATCAGACCATAGGGCTTTTTTCTCATTAGAGAGGGACAACTGACAGTAATTTAACCTGAAGGTCGCCACATCAGGCAAGGGGAGAAGTCAAGACGGAGAGTCCTTCATGGTAACGTGAGCCAGTAGTCGGAATTTGAACCCACACAGTTGGCATGACTAACCAGCTGTCCAGCCACCTGAACTAAATCAACTCCCTTCAAAGACTGCATGAAAAATATTACACCAGTATAAAAGAATTTCTAAGCCAAACTTTACAACTCATCAATGCAAGACTGCTTGTGAAGTCCTTTCTTCTAATTTCAGGCAAAGATACAAGGGACTATTTTGAGTAAAGGGTGAAAGTAAGACTGAATTGGTGATGTCTAGATTAAATGTCAACCACTTTGAGGCTAGTTGGCAACTACAATGATTTAAATAAAGTGCCAAACCCAACATATGCATGATTAGCACAAATGTACTGATAAGTAACAATTTGCTTGAAGCAAAATTGTATAGCTTCCAAAGCTGTTCTTCCATTGAAAATATGGAATCTGTGCACTAACAGATAACAGCTCATATACTCATGGTTCAGGGACCATGGGAGGTAGCTGATATATTCTCTGAAATGGAGATCCTGGTAGAGCAGGTATAGCAGGGGTGAGATGTTCAGTACCTGCTAGTGTGATGAAGGCCACATAGGCAATAAATATGTTTCCAATGCTTAAAAAAAAGTAACAATTCGACCAGCCAAGACAAGATACCATATCACAAACATGTTCGTCAATAACTAGACCACATCTAGAACCACAATGTCACACTGTATTCCTATTAAACAGCATAATGATATTACACTACAATGCTATTACATCCTTAACAGGTAATGCACACATCTCAGCCTTATTTTACAGCTCTTCAACCATGAAATACACATAGATAGACCAAAATAGAAATAAAATTACGACTTTGTCTTCTCCAGGAACACTATAGCACATAATCAGCAGCAACGGGATCTTATTGGGATGGAGTAGCATAACTCCATAATAGTGCCAACTGTGGCTCAGTTGATAACATGTTTGTCCCTGAATCACAAGACTTTGGTTTTGACACAATTCAGACCCATGTACACAAAAAATCTAAGCCACCAGATCATGTAAAACTGAGGGCATATGCACTGTTAGAAATACCTTGTTTTGACTGAGCCTTTAAACGGAGACACCATCTGCCCTCTCAGGGGAACATAAATACCCTACAACACTGTTTAGAAGAAGAGCAGAAACTTCAACCCTGGACAATATTTATCCCTCAATCAACATCATAAAACAGATTATTTGACCAGAGTCACACTGTTGTGTGTAATTCTGCCACTTATGTTTTTACATTACAGTAGTGACAATGCTTCTGAAGTATTTATTTGGCCAAAGATCATGGTCAGTATAGCTTCCATACATATTTATAACTTTTCCTGATATCTAATCAGCCAAACATATATTCATTCATGTTATGAAGTTGGGTAGAGTATTCATGAATTGGAAGGCAGGAAGTTAGAATTTGTTGGTAAAAATAATCGTGCGGTAAAGAGTGTTGTGGTCCCTTTAAGAGTTTGTGCTTTGTCTGTGCTTGGAGGTTTATAAATGCAGGTGCACAGAGAGTGCCCGAATTCAAACATTCTGTATCGAACAGCCGAGCAGTTTGAATTTGGCCAATTAATTTAAACAAAGCACCTAGATACAGAAAGCCAATTGAATTTAAATCTGAAGGTGTCAATAACCTGAAACTAATTATATTATAAGAACTTGATTATGTCATTACAGGTATATAGGACGAAGGCATTTGGAAAATCAGAGAGAGCCAACTGCTGTTGGGGAGTGAGGGCGAGGGCGAGGGCGAGGGCAAAAAAAGTTCCTGATAGCAGAATTAATGGAAGTAAAAGTGTTCGCAAAGAGACTGGAGATGACAGAATATTCCAGAAGACAGTCTGTGTGAACTTGGAGAAATTAAGTTATAATTTATTGCTTCTTATTAATTGGGTTTATAGTACTGGGACTTGTCTTTGTTTAAATAGCATTCCAGTAGAATTTATGCCAGTTAGGAAGTAATTAGTAGTATAAGGGGAGAATTGTTGGTTTGTCAGTAATTTCGTTAATTTGTTCATGGTTGGGTTAAATAAATAAATTGTTTCTTGTTACTTGTAAAGTAGAGATCAGGGATTTTCTTTCTTTTAACCATGCTTTTATTAGGTTATGAGGGGAAGGACAAGCTTCTCTGGGTGTTTTGGGGGTAATCATCAGAGGGGAGCTCTACTTGTGTCATAACAGATTGCGGTTTGTGTTTTAGTTTAATTATCAGAGGGGTTCAGCCAGTCCCCATCGTAGCAAAAATCAAAAGATCCACATAGTCTCATCACACACACCTTCTTTGAATGACCACATCCATTATGCTCAAACACTAGTTTAGTTATATCATTGCAGGGACCCAATTGCAAGATTCACCTTGACATCCCCTCCCCAAATCTGGAGAAATTGGAAGACGTTCTGAAGAAGAGCTCATACTGAGCTCAAAACATTAACTCTGTTTCTCTTTCTACAAATTCTGCCAGACCTGCTGAGTTTCTCCAACATGTTCGGTTTTGATTTCTGCTTCCCCAGCATCCACAGTAATGTTACATAGTCTTGTGCAATGCGAAAGCAACACACTAAGTCACAATCACCATTCCTAGCCCTTAGCATTAAAAAAATTCTTTAATGTTTTATCATTGTTTCAGCTGTTGTAATGTGTAGTCAACAATTTCTAAACACCTTGAATAATTACCATTGTAATGAAGTATATTTTTCTCTAAAGTCAGAGATCGAGACCCAACCTTACATAGAACATAGACCTGTACAGCATAGAAACATGTCCTTTAGACCCCCATGTCTATGCCAACCATGATGGTATTCTAAACTAATTCCATTCGCCTGCATGTGGCCCATATCCCTCTATTCCCTGCCTGTTCATGTGTCTGTCTAAATGCCTCTTAAATGCTGTCATATCTGCTTCTACCAACTCCTCTGGCAGCGTGTTGTGAGCAGCTAGCACCCTCTGCTTAAAAAAAAACTTGCCTTGCACAACTCCTTTATACTTACTCTCACTTTAAAACCATGAGCCCTGCTATTTGACATTTCCATCCTGGTAAAAGATTCCAACCCTATCCATGCCTCTCATAATTTTATATACAGTCTGCTTCAATCAGGTCACCTCTCTGTCCCAAAACTGACCAAAAGCAATTCAAGTTTATTCAATCTCTCCTTATAGCTAATAGACTCCAATCCAGGTAAACTTGTTTTGCACCCTCTCCAAAGCCTGCCCATCCTTCCTACAGCGTGGCAAAACAAAATGCACACAGTACCTGCAGTACAGCTGAAATAATGTTTTATATAGATGCAAGATGATTTGCTAACTTTTATACTCAGTGTCCTGACCAATGAAGGTAAGCATGCCATATGCCTTCTAAACCACCTTATCCACTTGTGTTGCCACTTGCAGGGAGCTCAAGACTTTGCACCCCAAGAACTCTCTATATATCAATGCTCCTAAGGGTCTTGTCATTTACTGTGTACTTTTTATACCGTTTACTACATACTGTATGGATTTGACCTTCCAAAATGCATCACTTCACACTTGTCCAGATTAGACACCGTCTGCCATTTCTCTGTCCAATGTTCCAACTGATCTATATCCTGCAGTATCCTTTGACTACCTTCCTCACAAATGTTCTGAAGAAGAGTCACTGGAAACATTAACTTTGCTTTCTCTCCACAAATGCTGCCAGACCTGCTGAGTGTTCCCAGCAATTTCTGTTTTTGTTTCTGATTTCCAGCATCCATAGTTCCTGTTTTTTTTTTCGGTCACATGCCAATACTTGTCCAAAAAAAAGTATGCAGCAATAGAGGTTTTGTTGGAGTTTGGCTGTTAATTGCACAGATATATCAGAACAGCATGAAGTTTTCGGTTGTTTAGGAAATTCCTGATCACCACACAGATGCATAAACATTATGCTCATCTCTTCCTAAATGACCATTATGGATTACATGAACAATTTACCTTTTCATAGCCTTGGTATTACCAATCTATGTTTAAAATCTGGAAGATTGTCCACTGTGATTAATGGTTCCTCTGTTCTTGGTACTTTGGTGACAGCCAATCATTTGGAACTATATCTTGACCATAACTTTTAGCAAAATTGCCTATTCAGAGTACATTCCACATCTTCCTTCTGTGCCTTCGTCATCTGTTATGGCTTTTTCTCAAACTGGTAGAGTTTGTTACAATCGATGAAAATGTTTCCACTTCTGAAATAAGTGCAAGTCTCATGTTTCTACTTGATCAACTATAGCTCTTGATAATGTTGTGATTTGTAGGGCAATCCCTGGACCGATTTTGCAGGACAGCTCCTAGTGACCATGGCCCACCCAACCAAACACCTAACCCCACAACTGATTTCTTGCAATCTCTGGACAGCTTGTATTTGTTCTACAGAACTGACTATCAGCCAATCCATAGACTTCAATGGCATAGATGCCTAGACAGCATAGGATCAAGCACCAGGCTGACTATGGCCAACACCTGGAATGACCTCCTTGACTGAGCAAGGTGGTACCTAGTAATGTCACTGGCTAATAATCCAGAGCCCCAGGCTAAGATTCTTGGGATGTGCATTTGACTCCTACAATGGCAGATGGCAAAATTTGAATTCAACTTTAAAAATCTGGAATTAGAAAACTAGTCTAATGGCATCCACGTAATAACTGTCATCTGTTGTAAAAACCCATGTGGTTCACTAATATCTTTTAAGGAAAGAGAACTGCTGTACCTACGTAGAGATACTAGGAACTGCCGATGCTGGAGTCAGAGACAACACAGTGTGAAGCTGGAGGAACACAGCAGGCCAAGCAGCAT